ATCTCTCTTATCAGATATAATTAAATTGATCTAAGTATTAGTTTTACTGAGATCAGGAGAGAAAGAAGTTATTTATTTGAGGCTTCCTTTTAATTTTTAGTAAGACGTCCTCATTTAAAATATTCTTGGGGTGCTTAGTTGGTTCAGTCAGAGCATGTGACCCTTGATCTTGGAGTCATGAGTTCAAGCCCCACGTTGGGTATAAATAAATAAATAAATAAATAAATAAATAAATAAAGCTTTAAAAAATAATATAACATTCTTATTACAAAAAGAATTTTGTGAATTTCAGCAGACATAATAAAAAAGAAAGATTGCAATCAAATAACCTAACGGTTGCTTTGCAATTGAGATCACTGATTTCATCTCCTTCTTTCCACTAATGTCAAATGCATTTTCTTTTACAAATTTAAGTTTCTCAGGGCACCTGGGTGGCTCAGTCGGTTAAGTGCCCAACTTCTCTCAGGTCATGATCTCACAGTTCATGGGTTCGAGCTCCACGTCAGGCTCTGTGCTGGAAGCTCAGAGCTTGGAGCCTACTTTGGATTCTGTATCTCCCTTTCTCTGCCCCTCACCCACTCACGCTCTGTCTCTCTCTCTCTCTCTCTCAAAAATAAACATAAAAAAAAAATTTAAGTTTCTCTACTTGGACTTATTATTCATTGCAAGGGAGGAAAAAAAATTATTATATAGTGTAGAAATCAGGTAATCGAAACTATCCAGGTGACCAAAATTAACATCACCAGTGAGGACTTCATGGCCTTTGGGTGTCTTCAGATGTGATATTCTGAGAATATAACATCACCTAAAACACATAACCTGAATCCAATCATGAGAAAACACCATTATTAAAAAAAGAGAAAGGGTGCCTGGGTGGGTCAGTCGGTTAAGCGTCCGATTTCAGCTCAGGTCATGATCTCACAGTCTGTGGGTTCGAGCCCCACATCAGGTTCTGTGCTGGAGCTTGGAGCTTGGAGCCTGCTAAGGATTCTGTATATCCTTCTCTCTCTGTCCCTCCCCAGCTTGTGCTCCCTCTCTGTCTCTCAAAACTAAATAAATAAACATTTAAAAAAATTTTTTTTTAAAGAGAAAAGTTGATAGGGGCAGGGCAGAATGATTTTTAAAATGTCAGTGTCATAAAAGGCCAAGAGAAGCCATGGAAGTGTTCTAGATTCAAATAAGCTGAAGATACATGGCAATTAAATAAGATATCTGACCCTAGAATCTTCCAATATGGCAGGAGAGATGGGGAAAATTCTCTAAAGGACACTATGGGGTCAACTGACAATATTAGAATACAAACAGTATATTAGATAAAAGTATTATATTAATGTTAAAAACTAGAACTATCCTATGACCCAGCAATTGCACTACTAGGTACTTATCCAAGGGATACAGGTATGCTGTTCTGAAGAGGCACATACACCCCAATGTTTATAGCAGTGCTATCAACAATAGTCAAAGTATGGAAAGGGCCCAAATGTCTATCAACAGATGAATGGATAAATAAGATGTGGTATATACACATACACACATACATACAATGGAGTATTACTCAGCAATCAGAAAGAATGAAATCTTGCCATTTGCAACAACATGGATGGAACTAGAAGGCATTATGCTAAGCGAAATTAGAGAAAGACAAGTATTGTATAACTTCACTCATATGTGGAATTTAAGATACAAAACAGATGAACATAAGGGAAGAGAAGCAAAAATAACATAAAAACAGGGAGGGGGACAAAACATAAGAGACTTTTAAGTATAGAGAACAAACTGAGGGTTACTGGAGGGGTTGTGGGTGGGGGGCTGGGCTAAATGGTTAAGGGACATTAAGGAAGACACTGGTTGGGATGAGCACTGAGTGTTAGACATAAGGGATGAATCACTGGAATCTACTCCTGAAAGCATTATTGCACTATATGCTAACTAACTTGGATGTAAATTAAAAAAAAAAAAAAGTATTGTATTAATGTTAAATATGCTGAAGCCAATAACTATACTATGATTATATAAGAGAATATCCTATGCTTAGGAAATACAGAAACATTTCAGGGCAAAGGGTCATGATGTGTGATGTAACTTTCTACCAAATGGCTCAGAAGAACAATTATATACATTCATACATACATCTAGATAGATAGATAAATAGATTGGGAAAGAGTGAGAATAAATACAGCCAATGATAAAGCTAAAGGTATAAATTGTTAAATTATTAGTTGGTAAGTTTGAGATTATTTGCAAATAGAAAACTTAAAGAAAAATTAACAGTTCTTGCCTACGCCTAAGTTGGCATTCTTGGCTATCTGTTTTCCCTCCATAATATTCCAAATGCAACACAGGAAGAGATGCTTGTGCCATGTAACAAGAAAGTGGAAAGATATTTTAACATAATTTTTTATCAGTGATTGAAGCTTGCCAAAGCATTACACACCATCCGTTCTCCGCCGAGTCCATTGCAAAGACCAGCAAACACTGGCAACTTAGATGCAATCATTTCCTACTAATTCCTCCAAACAGGGCCTTGGTTCTAAAACCTTGTCATATCCTACAACTTCCAGAATCATCCCATGCACAGAACAAGTCTCTCAGCTAATCTTTTAGACAGGCACTAATGTCAATCAATTGGATTCAATCTTTTGAACTGGACCATCCCAATATTTTAAGCCATGTCTAAGTAGCTGGAGATGTGGAACTCAGGAGGCAGCATTACATCATCATATATCCAAAACTCTCCACCAATTTGAAACTGCCATCAGAATCCCATAGTCTCAATGTCCATGACCTCACAATGTTCCTATATCAGCACTGGAGGTGCTGACCTCCAACCCGCAATGTGCTATCTAAAATGATTGCTTCCCCAAAAGCAGTAGAGGGAACAATGCCTAAGACCAAAAACATAGGAAAGACTTTTCTATAAGGCCATCACTGGAGACAGAATCAAAAAGGTTATAACCAAAATTAAAATTTCCAGCCATGCTTAGGAATTAGGAAATAACCATTCTCTAAAACACAGTAGAGACAAAATATACATATATTGGTGAGTCTTTTCTATCCTTCCTGGTCCCATTTTATTACTTTCTTGGGACTTTTAGTATTAACTATCTGTAAGTTAAGATACCCATATACTAGTTTTAGATTTGACTTTTTATCCTAGATATTCCCCTTATTATTCATTTTTCTCCAAATTTCAATCAATAAAGTTATTTAACAAATATTTACCAAGAACCTACTTGATAGCCAGACTTACTGGTACTTACTGGTACCAGAGGAAAGATTCCAGGTTTTTTGTCTACAAATAATCCCTGAGAAAACGATGATATGAAGACATTAAGTGCAATCAAGTCTGCTTGCAGAAAAGCATAAGAAGCCAGAAATGAATCATGACCAACTGCAAAAAGGAATCAACTAGTCAAAGCACTAAAGTTTAATGAGAAGATAATTTTTAAAGTAGGTGAAATTGAAGAGAAGTTACATGTAACATTATTATAAATTTAAAAATCATGCATATTCTTCTCCATCAAATTTCTCAAATGCAGTTAAAAACACACACGTACAAAACCAAGCAATTATAAATCTTCTGAAGCATGTAACTGTGATTAGCTGCTACTCTCAGCAATATAAAAATACTTTCACCACAATTACATTCCAGCCTGTAATGTAATTCAAAACAAACAAGTCAGACATCACTCAAATGGCAGAACCAACAAATGCAGATGCTTTGCATCAAGGAAATGAATCCACTGAAGAAATGCAACAGGAGCCTGGAGCTGGGCTTCTGGTGGAACAGTGAGGCCCCCTTCTGGGCAGACGCAGAGCACCCCAGTGTGGTTCTACAGAGCTGTTTTTCCATGGGCGCCAACCCTTAGTGCGGTCAGAAAGTATTGAGTGTCTGGGACTTCCGGCTGGGGAGACCCTTCCCAGGGTTGTGTGCCCATTTTTCAATTTTAGGTTTTAAATTCTAAGTCTGGACTTTTACAAAAAGAAATAACAACTTGATTTCAGAGTAAATAAAGCCATTCTATTTAATCATGCAACCAGCAGTCCCAACACCAAATGGCACACCCATCCCCTGTTCTCTTCTTGTTGCCATGACCCTTAAGACCCTCTAACGTACTGTATAATCTATCAGGCGTATTATCTGTCTCCCCCTGCTAGAATATCAGCTCCATGAGGGCAGGATTCATCATTTTGCTCACTGATTTGATGAACAAATGGAGCTTGGCATAGTGTAGCTGCTTGCTAATAAAGAAGGAATTGTCTCATTTCTGCTTTTATCTTTTAAGAAAATATTCATCTTCATCTTCAAAGAAGGCGTAAGGTTTTATTATAGCAATATGCTATAATTTAAAAATGACACGTACTTGTTTTTAAAAGTATGCATTTTCTCGAACTGCTTTATAAAAGCAAAAAGAAATCCGTTCTGAGGCACACACAATCATAATCTATATGTATACAACTCATAGACAAATTCCAAGAAAGTCACGGGCCCTCATCGCTTCTTGGCCTTTTGGCTAAGATCAAGTGTAGAAAGTCACGGGCCCTCAACACCCTGGGAGGACACAGTAGCTGCAAAGAATGAAGGACCCGATTCTGAAAAGCCAGGCCGAAAGCAGGTGTCCACAGTGTGGCACACTCCAGTCCGGACACATGCCAGGTAACTGGGTCTGGATACACATTCACTGAAACTCAGGACTTTCCTGGCCCAGGCACAATGATTTTGGCAGGAAGAGCATGCACTGCTTACTAATTTCTAAAATTTCAATCTTTATTTTTATCCCCTTCTTACAATGTTCTTTAAGCTTATGGAAAAGCTAACCATTGTCTACAACTGTCAGACTTTTAAAAAGTGCTAATTTGTTCCCTGAACACAGCAAATAATGGGAGATAATTTTCCCACGGGTTGAGGGCACATATGAACGTATGATTCAATGATGTCAACAACTTTCAGTCCAAGAATGTCGTCAAGGGGCATCAATCAGCCTTCCCTCAGAACAAGTTCAAGGTTTCGGACATTCCTTTTTCCGAACTTTTGATTTTGGTGCTGTGAAAAGAATAGCAAAAAAAAAAAAAAAAAAAAAAAAAAAAAAAAAAAAGAGAGAGAGAAAATGAAGAGGAGGGCCCATGTCAGACTCTGTTCACACAGCTTTGTCTTAAGTGAGGTTACATCATGTACAGCAAAGGGAAAACTGACCATTTGGATTTTCCTGTTTGTAGAAGGTCTTCAACATTTCCACTGCTTCCTCGGCCCGATATCCAGGAATGCACTGTTGAAATGAGAAGATTGAGGATGAATATCGCCCAATGAAACTGTGGCCTGTATCCCATACAAACAGTAATTGGGGGACAGCAGTGATGCAGGTAAGGAAGTACATTTCTAAGAGAATCGAGTACAGACTCAAACCGCGCTCCAGTCAACTATTATTTCTCAATCAACTACTATTGAAGTTACCAGCTATGTGATCTTGGGTACTGTGCCTCAGCTGCCTCATGCGTACAGTGTAGGTAATTACAGCACTTACCTCAGAAGGGTTTCATGAAGAGTAAATAAGATTACATAAAATAACACCTGTTAAATACCTGACACATCATAAGAATTTGTTAAGCATCTGCTATGTTTTTCGACCCTTATTCACTGTTGGCCCATTAAGCGTTTGATGCTATAGAGCTATAGTTGGTAGTCCGCAGCTAAAAATGATCAACTAAGTATGATTTTTATATTTTTAAAGGGTTGTAAAAAATTTAAAAAAGAAGAAGAAGAAGAAGAAGAAGAAGAAGGAGGAGGAGGAGGAGGAGGAGGAGGAGGAGGAGGAGGAGAAGGAGGAGGAGGAGGAGGCGGCGATGTGACACAGACGTGAGTGGCTCACAAAGGCTAACATATTTACTATTAGGCTCTTTACAGAAAAAAAAGTGTTGATCTTTACTGTAGTGGATGTTTTCAAAAGGATTTAATTGGATCTATCTTTGGTATCTAACTAGAGAGAAAAGATCGATTAAGTGAAAGAGTAAGAAATTACGATAATGGTAAGGAGTGAAATTATGTATAAAACACTAAAACACTACATGAGGATGAAACTTGAACTTGCCTTAAAGACAGCAATTATTTAAAGAGGCTGAACACAGCATTTCAGGGAAAGAGTAATAATGAGCTTGGGTTGTGGGAGGAATCCAACTAATGGGGGGTAGGGGGCCTATAGGTAAAGAAATTCAAGAGAGAAAATGAGGTCAAAATATACAGGGCTTTGAAGGTGCGTTACACGAGTTTGAACTCGATATGCTGCATCCTTCTAAGATGCACGAAATGAAAAAATGAACAGAGACTCCATGGAGGCATACCCAGAAGCAGCCACTGGAGGGGAAGCAGCTAGTGAGTGCCAGCACAAGGGCCTGGCGAGCATGGTCTGCTGCTCAGAATGAACCTCCTTTTCCCTTCTGCCTTCAGTCAGCTCTTACCTGGACCTATGAAGCCTGAATAAACCTTCCCCATCAGAAGAAGACCTTTACGAGTTTAATGTTTTTAGATTGCACATATAAGAAGGATCATCAGGGGCACCTGGGTTAAGCGTCCAACTCTTGACTTTGTCTCAGGTCATGATCTCATGGTTTGTGAATTCAAGCCCCTTGTTGGGCTCTGTGCAGACAATATAGAGCCTGTGTGGGATTCCCTCTCTCCCTCTCTCTCTGCCCCTCCTACTTGTACACACACACCCTCTCTCTCTCAAAATAAATAAACTTAAAAAAAAAAAAAGACCATATAGTATTTGTCTTTCTCTGTTTGATTTCTTTCACTTGGCATAATGCCCTCAAGGTCCATTCATGTTGTCCTAAATGGCAGGATTTCCTTCTTTTTTATGGCTGAATAATATTCTATTGCATATGTATTAAAATATACATATTATATATTTATTATATATTATATATGTGTGTGTATACACACACACACACACACACACACATACATATATATATACAGAGAGAGAGAGAGAGAGAGAGAACATTCTAATTATAGAAGCAAAGAGTAGAATGGTAGTTGCCAGGGGTGGAGGGGTGGGGGTTGTGGAGAATGAAGAGACAGTGCAAAGGGTACAAACTTTCAACTATAAGGTAAGTTCTATAAGGTGAGGATCTAAGGAACAGCACAGTGACTATAGTTAACAACACTGTATTGTGTACTTAAAAGCTGTGAAGAGAATAGAGCTTAAATGTTCTGACCATAACAACAAAATGGTAATTATGTGAGGTGAATGGTGTGTTAACTAACTTTATTGTGGTAAACATTTCACAATCTATACGTCTAACAAATCATCTCACTGTACACCTTAAACTTCACACAATGTTATATGTCGATTACATCTCAGTAAAGCTGGGGGAAAAATATCCCAATAACCTTCCTTTGACCCTGCCCCTCAAGCAAGCTACTACCCTGCTGCTCCCTGAGACCGGCTACCCTGCTGCTCCCACAGACTCCTGGCCGTCACTTGCGTGGCTCTCATTTCCTCTTCAATCTCATCCATGCTGGCTTGTGCTCCCAGATCTCCCAAGGGCCCCTACTGACCAAAACACTGGTTTCCTTTCCATTGTCCTCAACTCTCTGCAATGGTGGAGACTACTGACCATTCTCGCTTCTTTTTAGAGCTCTCTCCTCCTTTGGCTTCTCTGTTCTCACAACCTTTTCAGACCATTCTAACCATGGTGGGTCAGTCCCATTCTCCTCACGCTACACTGTTTGTGCTCCTCAGAGCTCCCACCTCTCCTCATGTTCTCATGAGCACCAAACAAGCACAAAGCACTCTCCCCTCCTGTGAGGTCAAAGCAGTGGTCCTCCACCTTGGCTGCTCAGTGGAATCGACTGGGAACTCTCTGAAGAAAATACTAATATTCCACCTCCTCCACCCTCTCACCTTATACAGTTGGTCTGGGGCAGGGACCTCCCACAGGCACACTTAAAAAGCTCTACAATATGCAGTCTGGGATGAGACTCACTGAGTTACAGATGGAGAAGGAAATTGCATCACTCTAAGATACCAAGACAATATTTTCAACTATTCATTATAGCAATAAATTGTGACTTTAATAAAAAGCACACATTCTTATTAAAATAAACTTTTTTTTTTTTTTTTTAATTTTTTTTTTTCAACGTTTATTTATTTTGGGGACAGAGAGAGACAGAGCTTGAACGGGGGAGGGGCAGAGAGAGAGGGAGACACAGAATCGGAAACAGGCTCCAGGCTCCGAGCCATCAGCCCAGAGCCCGACGCGGGGCTCGAACTCACGGACCGCGAGATCGTGACCTGGCTGAAGTCGGACGCTTAACCGACTGCGCCACCCAGGCGCCCCAAAATAAACTTTTAAAAATGGAGCAGGTACATATTATAAACAATCACTATCTTCTCTGAAAAGAATAGTTCTGCAGGTCTCCTCTATGAGCTTAATTCAGCTTATAATATAGCATTAAAGGATCAATGATTCTGCAATACAAAAACAGTATCCCACCTCCCACACCCGCCCCCCTACCTGAACCAACCAAATAAAGGAAGAAAACACAGGATCCAGAAGCCTAGGGTGTCAATGTTTCCTTAGAATTTCAAACACTTAAAAACAAAAACAACATAATTTGGCATCAGACCTGGAGATACGGCTTCAAATACTGGTCACTCCTTTCACTGGGACCAATTAGTCCAAGTACACACACTATGATCTTATTCTTTGGTTCAGAGAGATCAACTCTGTGCAGAGACGTGTAAGAGAGGACTTTTTGGGCACTCAGCGTCACTGACGTGTTGGAGAGAAATTTTCTACCTATGTCTGATATCCAAGGGCTTATCCTTGTTCTGCCCAGGAGCTTTGAGAAATTCTTTAGATCTTTTTCATAAATGAAGTACAGGGTCAGCAATTTACTTGCAAAGAGTTATGTAAATAAAATCTGAGCTACTAACAGAAGCGATTGGGAAAAATCAAATCACTTTGCACATTATTTTTTATTTTATTTATTTATTTCAGAGAGAGAGAGAGAGAGAGAGGATGCAAGTGAGTGAGGGAGGGCAGAGAGAGAGAGAAGCTGTGCTCATGCTCATCCAAAGTGGGGCCTGTGCTCCCCCAAAGCAGGGCACGAGCTCCCCCGAAGTGGGACTCGAGCTCACCCCATGTGGGGCTTGAACTCACGGGCCATGAGGTCATGACCTGAGCCGAAACTGAGCCACCCAGGCACCCTGAAGATTTTTTTAACGGTCAAGCTGATAGTATTATTTATTCTCTGTTGTTCAATTATAATTTCTTTTCCGATGTGATGTTAAAAGTTATCTATTCTCAAATATACAGAAGTCGTTAGGAAAGCTAATGTTCAGCTGGAAAAACTCAAAATAGAATGTTTTCCAAAACTTGTTCTCAGTGGGATTCAGCCAAATTTAGCCCTTCATAGGTACTTGGTATTCTCCTAAGAATATCTGAGGTCTTGTAAGAATATCTGAGGTCTTTGAAGTTAACTGCCCACCATGTCAAGCCTTGGTCAAATACTTTTCATTTTAAAACATAATACTTCAGGATTAACTTTGGAGAAAAAAAAAACATCACACCGGTTTATGAAAAACGATATGTATCTACAGGCCAAACTCGGAAATACAAATTCCCACTGCTCATAGCCTTAAACATAAAAACTTGGGGAGAGGTGGCAAGATTAAAGGGAAAGTAGAATTTTTAAGGGAAAACAAAAACAATGTGGATCCTAGGGCCTGGGGGAAATTTCAGTACTGAAAAGGCAGGGGGAACAAATAATGAAAACACAGGTATTAATTGCTACACACCAAAAATGGTACATAGTGATAAAGCAAAATGATTGGCTAAGTGCAAAAATATTGTGTGTGCACTGTAAATAGCAGTACTGTTACTGACAGAGTCCAAGCTTCTCCTAAACTCAGTACAGCACAGAGCTGGGGACACGCACTGAGTGAAAATGCCAACTGTGACCACGTCTCCAAACATCCCTGAAGGTGTTGGTAAAGACTGTCAGGAGAGACACCCTGGAAGGTTGGGGACTTTCCTTCTGGAAAGGTTCTGTTAATTAAGAGAGCCAAGCACTTACCTGGAAATGATTACCTGTCATCTTATACTGAGGCATAAATGAACTTGACTAGTGGTCCCAGAGTCTGCCTGGTCCTAGCATGACTCTTTGGTATACTGACCACACTTGAACAATTCCCGAGCCCATAGAGAAATCAAAGGAATGAGAAAGAAAGAGGAAACATTAGCAGGTCATATTACCTGAAATGGTCTCCCAGTATTTGGTAAATCAGCAGAGGCAATATTTAGAACAGAGCCACAACCACCAAATCGTTCGTTCTGACAGCCATATACCACCAGTGGAATTTATGGGAAAGAATTAAGGTCCCAAAGCCAATGTGCAGTTCAAGTGTGTACAGTGACAAGACCAGGGTAGGTTTATACCAGCCAGCCGGGAGAGGGAAGTTCAGGCTACTTTTAAAAAGTTAAGGGGCGCCTGGGTGGCGCAGTCGGATAAGCGTCCGACTTCAGCCAGGTCACGATCTCGCGGTCCGTGAGTTCGAGCCCTGCATCAGGCTCTGGGCTGATGGCTCAGAGCCTGGAGCCTGTTTCCGATTCTGTGTCTCCCTCTCTCTCTGCCCCTCCCCCGTTCATGCTCTGTCTCTCTCTGTCCCAAAAATAAATAAACGTTGAGAAAAAAAAAAAAAAAAAAAAAAAAAAAAAAAAGTTAAGCGTAGGCTTAGTCTTAAAAATCAGACAATCCAGTTACACAAAAGAAGGAGGTCTAAAGGATTTAGGAACTAACATCTCACAACTGCAAATAATAAAAACCGAATACATGGTTACTAAATATTCACAGTTTGGTATTCTCTCTAGTCTTTCCTAACCTACTTTCTGTGAATCATTAGGGAACTGGAGCCAGAAAGGAAGTAGGAATTTAATCCAGGGATTTGCACCTTTTAAAAATAGGATTGTTGGTGGCACCTGGGTGGCTCAGTCAGTTGAGCATCCGACTTCGGCTTAGGTCATGATCTCACAGTCCGTGAGTTCTGGCCCCACATCAGGCTCTGTGCTGACAGCTCAGAGCCTGGAGCCTGCTTCGGATTCTGTGTCTCCCTCTCTCTCTGCCCCTCCCCCACTCATGCTCTGCTCTCTCTGTCTCTCAAAAATTAATAAATGTTAATTTTTTAAAATAATAATAAAAATAAATAAATACATAAAAATGGGATTGTTCCCTATTCTTTCCCCAAATAAAATGCAACATGTGCCCCAATATAAAACAGACTAAGGCTGAGCCGCGCCATAAGGCAGGTTGGGGAGGGGCTAAGTAAGGGGACTCTAGTAAGTGGGGGCTAAGTAAGTAAGGGGACTCTAACTCCCCTTTTACAAAGTAAAGACTGTATATACATGTTATCATACTCAAAACCCTCTGTTATTTTTAAAGTGATGAATTTTTTCACACATACATAGCAAAATAAGTACATAAAAATGTGCATGTATGAAATTAAGTTTTTGAACTAGCAAATAATTTTTTAAAGATCTTAGAGACACCTTGCTACGCTCAGTATTTGTGTTGCTTACTATGAAAGACACAATTCAAAGAGTTTTTCATTCCCCATTTATTTATAATTACAGTATCATAAGTGATGTGTTTTTTTACCTGGTATTTACTCTGACTTAATACGTTTCATACATTGTAACAGGTACTCATGGCAAAAATAAACAAAAACATATAAACAGAAAGAAAAAATTTAAATCACCTATAATCTATTATCCAAAGGTGCATATTCTTCAGATCTTTCTCTGCACACAGTTTTATAATCTACTTTAATTTGTGATTTATCCTCCCACAGCAGTTTGTTAGCTCTTAGTGTCTTTCTCTAGTTCATTTGGTTAACAGTTTTACGTCTACTGACATAAAATGAAGTAATTTTGTTATTTAAAAATCTTTCCTAAATATTTTTTGGCCAAGGGGCACAATATTTTATAACTTGTTTCATAAGTCTGCTTTCACATATTAGAAAGCAGGTTATGTGTCCGGCCATTTTCAAGTTTATAGGAAGGGCCCAAGACAGGAACTCACAAAGTCAAAGGATACTCATCAGGCGGAGAGCAGCTGCACACATAATACACGGCTCCACAGTGACATACAGCACGGTGTGTTCAAATACTTCAGAAGGACTCTTGCCACTTTGGTGGCACCAGTCCAGGGCCTGATCGATGGCCACCATTTCTGCATGTCGAGTAGCCTGGAAAAAGAGAGGTGCTTGCATCAACACGTAACTGTGTTTTACAAACACTCAAAAATAAGTACCCAACACGGGCCTAATGTTTCTGCCAATGTTTTAATGAGTAAGGGTTTCAGGGACACTCTTAGCAGTTGACAATGTATTCCCCGATTCAAGTACCATAGCTTCACCAATGCAAGACAGCGAATCTGAGATGCTATGTGATTTATGCTCTATTTTTATTTAAGTACCTAAGAACTTCAGGGGACGCTCTTTCAGTTAAATGCCGCGGAGAATAGAAGTCTCAAAACAAAACAAAACAAAAAAAGAGTCCAGGGTTTATGAATACTCCAGGGGAAGCCTGAAGTCTTCACAAGCATGTGCTCCAATTTCAGATATTTTCAAGGCCATCCCTCTAACTCTAAGGGAATCCATATTTAGTTTACTGGAATGTCATCACTTCTATTTTCTTTGGGATGAGATTTAATATTCTGGCAGACTCTAGAGAAAACCAGAGATTTGGTATGAGTCTTGAATACCTCATGGGTGGTAGGAGAATGCAGGGGAAATCACACAGCATTTGGAAATACCCATACTTAACTCTGAATCCTGACTGTGGCCTCACTCATTATGTGGCCTTGGGCAAGTTACATAACTTCTCTAAGCCTTGGGTCCACCATGTGTAAAACAACGTATGCTGGCATGTAAACCTCATAAAACACTGAATTACATGAAGCAGATGTTGCACGCTATATATGTACTCTGCTATGCAGTAATTATTAATAACATTCAAGATGATCACACTTGTCAATAAACTTACGCTGATTGCTAAGAACAAGTCATTGTACTAAATCCTATGTGAGGTTAAAGAGTCTGTCCTCAACAAGTATAAAATCTGGTGAGGCAAACAGTTGCTAACCTGTGACACAGAGTAGGGTGTGGAAAATGGTGGCACAGTGGCCCAAGGTGCCGCGGAAGCTGGAGGCAGGTGGAAGCTATGCTGGTCCAGAATTATGAACTCAGAGCGTAAGGTATTTTAGAGAACTGGTTCCCAGACCTGCCTGCATACCAGACCTAACTGGGGAGCTTAAAAAGTTTCCCCAACTCCAGTGCTTTTTCAAAAATCAAATTCAGGGGTGCCTGGGTGGCTCAACTGGTTGAGCGCCCGACTTCGGCTCAGGTCATGATCTCACGGTTTGTGAGTTCGAGCCCCGCCTCGGGCTCTGTGCTGACAGCTCAGAGCCTGGAGCCTGCTTCGGATTCTGTGTCTCCCTCTCTCTCTGCCCCTCCCCAACTCATGCTCTGTCTCTCTCTCTCTCTCTGTCAAAAATAAATAAACATTAAAAAAAAATTTTTTTTTAATCAAATTCAGAATTACCGAATCAAGTCTCCCCAGAATTCTCTGTAAGCAACCGTTAAACTGAATCACTGCAATCAACCTCTCTGTTAGTGTGCAGAGCCAGAAGCTAAGTCAGGACAAGTAGAAAACACACCGCTGGAAGAGGTGATGGCAGTGAAAGGCGTGGTGGTAGTATCAGAGCCAAAAGTAGGACTCGGGTCTCCTCATTGGGGGTTAAGAGTTTTTCTATGCTGCTTTATAGGGTAATCTTCTATAGGACACCGAATACCAAGATAAATGCAGGCTAATTTCAAGATACAGAAGAAACCCAGGTCATCGGAGGGATAGATGGATGATGTTAGGGCATTCAAAGTTCTCATGTAAAGATACCATACTGAACCACAAAATGTAATTAGGGAGATAGGACAATCATTTAAAATACAGAATTCTACTCCTAGACAAGTATCTGTATATTCACTAATTGCTACATTATGCTTATTACTTCTCTCACAAATGTTTTGATAGCCACATAATAATTGCTTTGATGAATCTGGGTTCCTAGTTTGCATGTGCTCTTTTTTATTTTATTTTTTTATAGATATGATGGATAAACTTTAAATTTCCTACAGCACCATTACCAACATCAGCTTGTTCTCTAACTCCCAAGATCAAATAATAAGATCAAAGTCTGTTTGAGTGATGTTATGGTTATAACCTGTCCATGAGTCCAGCTAGTACTTCTTGTCATAAAATTATGACGGGGCACCTGGGTGGCTCAGTCGGTTAAGCGTCCAACTTCAGCTCAGGTCATGATCTCACAGTCTGTGAGTTCGAGCCCTGCATCGGGCTCTGTGCTGACAGCTCAGAGCCTGGAGCTTGCTTCAGATTCTGTGTCTCCCTCTCTCTCTGCCCCTCCCCTGCTCATGCTCTGTCTCTCTCTGTCTCAAAAATAAATAAAAACATTTAAAAATTTTTTTGTTTTAATCATAAAATTATGACACACTGTTGTGATATCAAGAAGTATTGCCTCAATTCATGAACTCCTCAACCTAAGCACAATAATATAAAGGCACACAAGCTATTAAAGTGTACATGTAGGTTTAGAGACAGCAGGTGGTAGACTTTATCCCATGAATTCTCTAATACACAGTTTCCTTTATACAGTCCTTTTATACCTCCAAAGATATAAACTGAAGGTGATTGTTTAATTTACCAGGAGGAATACATTATTTCAAGGTACTAAAAAATGTGATACAAGTTAAATTGATATGTTTTGTAAAGTGGAATTTCTATATATTAGATTTGCTTAAGATGGAGATTAGAGTCATTTCTTTAGTATTGAAGCTCCGATGTAATAAAACCCCCTCTTGAGTTTCACTCAAGTGTTAAAGTAAAACTCCATGACATAGAAAATTAACTGCAAAGATTCTACTGCTCCATTAAGTTTTTCTGAATTTTCCAAATTTTAAAAAACCAACATGTATTACTTTCATAATCAGAAAAAAAAGGCATTCAAAAAAATAAATGTTAAGAGAAACTACCCTTCCATTGATACCTACAAGTCTCTACACAGACCCATCTTCTCACCAACTATGATGAAGTTCAGGGCACTCCTACCTTTACCTGGATGTTTGCAATTATACTATTCAATTGACATACGTTTTTGGTTTGATTAACTTCATTTCGTCCCTTCCCCACAACTTCATTGTTGTAGACCATGAGACAGCCAACGGGAACTTCAGTATTTTCTAGGGCTTCTTTGGCCTAAAAGACAAAGTGGAAAATTTAAGATGTAACGCTCAATACTTGAAAAGACTACAGGAAAGAAATAGATGCAACGTGAACACACACATATAAGCACTGAACAAATACCACAGAGTTCTCCCTCTCCTCAAATTCAGTTCAGTACTTACTGCCTTTGTTCTCCATTCTTTCCATATTTAAGGAGACTCAAGAACAAACTCCCTTTACAGGTTCTGAGCCCCCTGGTTTTTCCTTCTCATTGGAAGCAGAAGTGAGCAAAAGACTATTATTGACTCTTGTTCTTAAACTGGCAGGGTCTCTGCAACTTTTCAGAGATCATATGTGTGTGTGTGTGTGTGTGTGTGTGTGTGTGTGTGTGTGTGTGTATTTGCAAAGGGAAAGAATAACATGTATAAATAATAACATCCATTTCTTGTTGAAATTCTACTTGCTTAATTTTTTGTTTCTCTAAACAGTATAGAAAATATCCTCTTGAGTTCTAATAGCATAAAAGTAACCAGACTGGATGCCTCTCTGTGCTCACAATTTCTGTTTCAACACAAGAAAAGCCTAAGAGTGCTTTGTGTTAAAATGGCACAACCACTTTGGAGAACACTTTGGAAATTTCTTTAAAAAGTAAACATGCATAGAGCCTATGAACAAATTCCACTCCTAAGTATTTATTTAAGAGAAGGGAATATATGTCCAAAAAAAAAAAAAAAAACCCTTGTAAAAGAATGCTCAGGAGGAGCCAAGATGGCAGGACAGCATGGAAGCTTTCTGTGTGTCTCGCATCCATGAAATACAACCAGATCAACATTGAACCATCCTACACACCTAGAAAACTGATTGGAGGATTAACACAGCAATCTGCACAACCTGAACCACAGAATTCAGCAGGTACGCGGCGTGGAGAGCTGAACTTGGGGAGCAAGAAAACCTGAAAGGTAGGGAACTGCTTTCGTGGGCAGAGAGAGGACGGAGACAGGGGAGGGGGGGAGAATATGGGAAAATCACCCTTCCCCAAAAGCAGCTGGAGAGAAAGTGGAAAACTGGAAACAGCCGCAGGGACTAAACTAAAAAGGGAGAAAGGAGAAAGGAGAGGGTTTAAATTCCATTAAGACTGTAACAAGGGGAGTGCAAAGGCTGCAACTCCGCAGCTCCATACATGGCAGTGCTCTGGTGGGAAGGGCGAATCCCCAGGAACAGAGTGGGGTCCGGGAGGTTCTCAGGCCACACGGGGAAAAGCAGTTCCACTCCTGGAAGGACATTTGGTAGAGACTGTTGAAGCCACCTGGTCCCAGAAGACCCCAGAAGGTGGCCACATTCACTGGTGCTGGGGCAAGGTTGTTAAGGGTGAATCCTGGTGCCAGATGTGTGTTGTGATTTTCCATTAATCCCTGAGATGCTGCTGATACACAGTCTCGCGAACATCTTCTGGGATGGGCTGGCACCTGGCCGCAGTCTCGGGGCACTGGCAACAACAGGGTCCAGTGGGTGTACCTGTGTACAGCCAATATTCGGCCATTGCTCATTCCGCCATTGCTCGGTGAGACCCTCCTGCAGCGGGGCGGAACGGGTCAAAGCCTCAATCCCTCAGAAGTAGGGGGCCAGGGACAAGGCTTGGGAGAGAGATGCCACCTGGGGCCTGGTCACAGAGAGTGAAGAACTGGGGAGTGGACGAGAGCTGAAGACGGAGGACGGGTGTGCGATTGCTGATCCGGGAGAACAGACTGGGTAGCTGGTGGCGCCATTTTCACTGCTCCCGCGCATGCACATATGCACCTACCAGCCTCGCAACCATCCACCCCAGTAGGCTAGCAGCGCCATCTAGTGGAGAGCGGAGCTGTTACACTAAGCCCCACTCAACTGGGCCAACATCACTCTTCAAGAACACAAGTCTCACTGCCTACTTAATTTATGGATTATAAAGAGCTACATTGGCTTCTAGGGGCAAACGAAGCAATTTTAGTCCTACTTCAATCTGTGAGCAGGTTCATCTATTCAATTTTCTTTCTTTTTTTTTTCCTTTTTCTCTTTTACAATTCTTTTCTTTTTCTTGAATACAGAAAGAGAAAAACTTCATTTTTACTTTCAATTTATATTAAAAATATTTTTATTTAATTTTTATTACTATATTTTTTGCTGTT